ATTACGAAATACACATGAATTACGTGGGTGGAAAATGCCAAAGAACAAGCATTTACCAAAGTTGTGCTCATCTTTACAAACTGCTTCACAACTTAATCAATTGTTGTATGAATAACCTTGATTACTCATTGGATTGGAACGACGTAGTGGAACTGCTGATGTCCTGACGAAAAATTTAATAAAAATTTTCCCCTTTACAGCATTCGAAATTTCTATACTTTACACGGTCTAGTAGCAGTTGCTTGAGAGTTGCATAAGGGAAATGACCGAATCTTTACTAAGCTGTATGCTTGTGATGTTTGAATGAACCAATGATTCCCTTGTGTTGGTGAATGTTTTGGTTTTGAATTCCAAATACAGTAAATTCTTTTTTGCCATCTAATACTTCTTGATTAGATTGCGTTATTTCTGGGATTGTCAGTTCATATTGCAATTCAAATACTCCTAGACATCACAATGCTTCTTTTCCGATGAACGTAAGCAAATGAGCCTCAAAATATTAAAGTCCTCATCATTTTCCTTGGTCACAACCCAGTTTCTGAGCTTCCCATGTGATCATCAAAAGCATCAAATTTTGAATGTATGTCCAACCGTTCCATCACAGGCTCCATTGCGAAGCCAATGTGATAATTAGGAGTATTTGAATTATAGTATAAACTAGGAATCCCAGAAGAAAGTAATTTAATCAAGAAGTACTAGACGAACACGGACAAATGTATTGCATTTGCAAGTCGAAATCGATCGGTCCTCAGATAGAAAGGAATCATTGGTTCATATAAACACCACAATTATGTTCGACTCCGAGGATGGTGTATCTGAGAATCAATATCACTACAAGCATACGAGTCTTTGTTGTCATCTTCTCTCAAGCCTAAGTTAGTACGAAAGACTTACCAAACTATTGAGACACATTTCTTCTCTTCTTTCTTTTCTTTCGGGTCAACTTATCATTCTGCTCAATACCACAGAGACTGGTTAAATACGATGAATACTGCTCAAAAATTATTGAAACTTATGTTTGATAGGGTTATTCGAAATATTAGTGACTGAGATTTTCACTCTGATTACTTCAAATGTGCTGGAATATAATAACCACGTATATATATCAAGGTGTAAAGCAAGGAAAATAAGACAAATATGATAAACATTTAGAATAAGGTAAGGCTTCACGCTGATGACTTAAAAGTCATCTATAAAACTGACATTGGTAATGTACGAAGTACTATGCAAACGATCCAACATGAACTCAACAAAGTAGACGACTGGTGCAAACGCTGGGGGCTAGAGCTCAACACAGTGAAATGCGGTTGGCTATGTATTGGTAACACGTCACTTAAACTAAAACTAGCACTTAACAAAAACCCACTGCTCAGACTGACATCAGTAACTGACCTTGGGGTACATTATTCCGACAGTCTTAACTTCTCTGAACATATTTCAACTAAAGCATCTCAAACGCGGAGATTGCTTGGCTTCATCCTTCGTAATTTCATTCAAAAGGAAACTAAAATCATCCTGTATAAAACCTGCGTAAGACCCATCGTCCAATACTGCTCGTTCTTATTTTCCAACCTACGCCTATCTGATATACTTAAGGTGGAAGGAATACAGCGAGACTTCACTTGCAAAATACTTAAGAATGACCAACTCACTGACTACAAATCCAGATGCCATATCTTAGGACTAGAACCCCTCTGGAAAAGAAGGCTTAGGTCTAACTTAATTCTTTATTTCAAACTCCTTAAAAACCTTACTTATTCCACATGTAATATAGCTCTCTACCAAGACTCACATGGATACAACCTTCGAGACAAAGTATCCACTGTCAAAATTGAAAAACACAGATCAAAAACACGTGAAAACTTATTCCTTATCAAGTACGCATTGATATGGAACAGTCTACCTTCTGAAGTACGCATGGCAGACAAATCACATACGTTTACAAGACTCATTAATCAACCCCTCACCTGCATAGGTCTTGTGCAAACGAACACATCCACGTCCCACACAGACATCATAGGCTCTCTACATATATAGACTGAATCGCCTTATTTCCCTACATTGTAGTTGTATTAGATACTTTCCCCTCACTAATTCTTTTCAATTGAAGTGGACAGGCAACTCACTGAATCTATCAATACTCGGTCGCTGAACGACGCTTATAAATACCCTAAAACACCAGAAGAAACGCACAATAGACTGACTACTGCCAGTGGTCGTACAACCACAGAACCTGTCACCCATCAACCGGTTAGCATAGAACAAAACAACCTCAGCGCGAATTTAGTGTGAGTTACTTCTTGTCTATTTATCAGTTTTTTACTCATCTCTACACTGTGTTGCCTTGCCATTAATATTATTTCACCACTCGTTATCTTACCTTATCTGTAACTAATATAAATCTCCACTTTTCAGCCTACTATGGTAAAAAAAATATCCTACACTATACCCTTCCTAATGCCTATACTCTGATTCGTAACCTACACTTCACTATATAGTCAATAAAAATATTGCATCGAAGCCTTACCCACAGTCCATAATTTGTAACTGTCTGATAAACTTGTGACATGGTACTTATAGAAATAGTGTTTTCCAACAGGATGTGAAACACAGAGCATTGTGTGAGGTATGATATGTATCCAAAAAATAAGCGTAAATGAGCCCAACATCACAAAAGGAGGGAGGGTGGAGTTACTGACCAGCAAGCACTGATGGTGTGGGCGATGATTTCAATCCACCCGTGTTTGTGGGGCAGAATATTTTGTTTGTATCAGGCTCTTTTTGGATGAGAACAAGTCAATAGATCTGTGATATTGAGATTGTTCACCTACACTCACCATTAAGTCTCATGTTTCTAATTTTTGTGCTGGATTAACTATTCTACTAAGACAACCTTTAACATGCTAACTCGGACTTTTACATGAACACTGTGTGGCGGGCATCGGATGAGAAAAGAAAAAAAACTGACTGTAAAGGATATGGTTGCTATTTTACTTAACACTACTCTCTATATGCACTCTCTGTTCTTCCTCATTCCAACCTTGACTTCCCTCCTTCATTGGAACCTACTCCACCTTGATAAATATCACAACCCATTGTTCTTTATTACTGCCTTCTCTCTTCTGGAGCCCCTAATCGCAGTTTACTCTTGCAACATGAGCTAGTATCAATTTAATCTAATAATTTATCATACCTCCATCTGTTCCACTAATAAATGTTAAGCATTGATTATCGCTCATATCCAAATACCTGGCTGCTCCTCGGTTTCTCTTTTATTTTTTCTCTTCAGAATCTTGCTCTGAGGGTGAAGCTATGTAACTTCTGACATCTGGAATAAGCTTGACGAACGCGCTTTCTCAAGATCATAGCTCGAACCAGGCGCTCCACAAGCCTACTTTATAACAATTATAAACTTAAAAAGTTGCATTACATAAATACTTAGCACTACCGAAACCCTATTACACTTTTTGTTGAGATTGGATCTGGTATATAACGTGGACGCTATGCCCCTTTGGAAACTATTCTTATGAAAAGACATTATATCTGAACGAATGAACTGCTATCAACTTTTATAGATTATAATTACTAAACAAGCTTGCTTGGGATGCATACTGTGAACCGGTATATGTTGTAAATTGTAGATCATGCCTGTAAAAATGGCATGTACCTGCTAATGCAGAAATATTATTATTACTATTATTCAGAATATCAGAATATGTGTTCACCAACTAAGGTCCACCGTATTCGGTAGAATCGGATGATAACGACATTTCAACGAATTAAAAGTAATATTTTGGAAGCGAACCAGAAATATAATAAGGGTTGTATTATATTCGTTATCTTCATATTCGATGACCGAAGACAAACGAATTAGGCAAGACGTAGAATCAAAAACTTCCCGAATATATATTTCGGCGATATACTTTATTAGTACATAGAGGGGGAATCAGCAATCAAAGTATGATAGGGCTGAGTAGATACTGTTGGACTGAAATAACAGTGGTATTGAAATTGTAGACCATCAACTTTGATGGTCTATGTCGAATGATTAGAGGCCTACTCGAGTTAGACGGGACGGTGTAACGAATAAGCTAACATTGAAGTTATACCTAGCGACCAGCACCTTACGTGGATTGCCCTATCGACGTATTAAGGGATCATGGATGCTCTTAAGACTGTACAACACAAAAGACGTTTTTACAAGAATATATTAGTTAAAGGAGATATAAGCGAAAGTAGAACCACTGCCACATGGGCCAGTCCATGGCGTATGATTAATTGACGCGCATTGATTGTCCTTGACCTTGACAGGGATTGATGATCTGTTCCATATTCAGTGACCCAACTGCCGGATGATTTGGCTGGGGTTCAGTGACATTTCACTGGCCCTACAAAGTAACACCAGAGTTGGACGTTTTTGTAATAAACCGGGTTTATATTGACACCGGCAATTAGATACACCAGAACTTGTATTGGAATATAAAGAAAACCGGAAATGTAATATCCAGCATTTGTTGTGTGGTTCCGGGACTGTGGTATATTGGTTCAATCTTCATTGTATCGATATGGGTACAAACTGTCTAGAATGTCAATTAGCCAAAGTTTATGGAGTATTTGTAAATCAGTATGATGATGGAATAAGGCTAACAGAGAGATGGATGGGCGGAAGACCGAACGAAGGAATAAAGTGGATGAATTCACGTACAGGGCCGTCGGTTTAGTCATACAACTGAGCAAAAGTTAGGCGACATAAATGAATCAACGCCTTTGACAGTTACATGCTCATCTAGGTAACGTGCTTCAAAGTAGCCGTACTATTATATGGATTCAGAATGTCCATGTAAGACACCATGGGTCGACGAAAGAAGATATTTGAATAGTCTGAAATAAACAGATAAGAGGTTGCTTAGCTAGCCATCTGGAGTAAAAGTTCGTCTCAGGAGAGCATTTCCGAGATCCAGCGACGGCGTTTATTCAAGTTCTTATTGATAGTAGTGTCCATTCAAATCAACAAGGTCAAGCTCGGTTTCGAAAGTCTGATAAACCGTTTAGTTTTTCATGCTATGTACCTATATAATTCGTCATTTCTATCCAAATACCAGAGATCAGAATACCCTACCCAAACAAGTAATATTATCTCCACATCTAATCCACAATAAAATAAAATGACATCTTAACCTTAAAAAGCTACTGTAAGAGTTAACAAAGGACATACGATCAACTAATCTTACTATTGAGGACTGAAAATTGCAGGCGGTTTTTCGTAGTGGTGACCTTGATACCCAAACCTGATGAAATGTGCAGTATTGGTCGCCTAATCGAAGACATTGTACCGGTTAAAGTTAGTGGCAAGGTAGGTTCTGTTTTCGCTATTTAACTAGAACTTATTAGTGGAAGAAGAAGCTCTGTGCACTTGAGAGACCTGCAACATTTATAAGTAAATTAGTGTTGTTTTGACCCAGTTTAGACTCACTAAAGTTATTCGTATTTAACGAAGATGGAAGTTTATGTCGTTGTCAAGATGTTCATGCCTACATTCTTGGAGTAGACTCTAAGCATGACGGAGTAATTATGTTCGTATGTACATACAAGTTACGTTGTATATCATTTCGACATTTCGAGGAGATGACTAAATGGGATGACATATTGAAAGCTAATTTGAAATGTAAGTCAGATTTTTGAGCTCTCATATAAGATCCGTGATTTTTTTCCGCTAATAACTGGTCCCTGTGTATACGACTTTAGAGCATTGATAATAACTTTGTGTTGACATAGGTACTCATGCTAATTGTGTAATGTTGTCTTTGATTGTTTAATTATGGACAACCTTCTAAAACGTATCACTAAAAATACTTTAGACAGATTTGATGTGGTTGTCTCCGTTTCATGTAATATGCATATGTATCCCACTTTTGCTTAACATAATCCTCCACTTTATCGATAAAAATGTGTGGAGGGGACGGCTAGATTTATCATTTCTTCCAACTCTGCTGTTGTATTCTGGCAATGAAAGTAAACGTACTTCCAAGGTTTCACTAAACTGCTCAAACGTCCAATCAGCAACCTGATATCATAATCCCAATAAATCAAATTCAATTACTGTCGAGTGATTATATAATGTTTAACAATCAGCCTCTTACAACGTTCCGTCACTTAACGGATTCTGTAAATATTCTTACGGATCATCCACAACCTGCATGAAGTCAGCCTGATCGTCGTCGGTCATTATTTCATGACTTTTTCGGCCTGTGAAGCATGACTGAGGTCATTAGTTTAGTCAATGGGTAACGAACCTATACTGAGACAGTTGTTATTCGAATTAGCCTTGCTAGTGTTATTTAACTATTTTTAGCAACGTGATTCAACGGCCTGTCGCCAACATTCAGCATATGTAAACAGGTTTCAATACTGAAATATTTTCGAGTAATTGATTCTGAATAATTACTTACCTCAATGAATATGAGAATGAAAAACACTATTCCTGCCTCCGTTAGGATGATGGTCATTTGGAATCAAAACTAAATAGTTTTGGTATAACGTTTTATTCTATGTTTTTAGTTTCCGACCTAATCTCCAACATTTTGGTGTCGAGTTCAATAATCTTAATTTTCCTAGTGATGACGATGGCTTTCTACTAGAAAAATCCTTACTAATTATCATTAGTTTAATTTGGCTTTTATCAACAAACATGCATCCCATAAAAACCCCTTCGTTTAAGAATAATCTACTCATTATGGGCATCAGTGTATAGATTGGTCTATGACAATATTCCACTAGTTGCTTTTAAAATACGTTTCCTTTATATCAGTTTCTTAAGTTGACTTACTGTTTCTTTTGCTCCCTATAGGTTCATATTTTCATGCCGATTTGATTGTCGCTCCTAAAAACAGCATTTTGTATAGTTATGCACGTCATAGGAGACGTTTCCCACTCATTCAAGGACCTAAAATCCAGATTTTCTCTTCAAGAAAATTGTATCCTACATTATGCAATAATTCAAGCGATGGCTATTTACATGTGACACGTGATCGTATATGTTTCACTACGGGCCCGGGTTGTTCCCATCCTCGTCTGTTAGCAACATGGACTTTTGATAATGATGAAATAGTGCAATGCGGTACTGCCCGTGTTCAGAACACTGTGAGAGGAAGCTTCACTGACCCTCCATCACTCTTTTTTCTCACTGCCTTCTCTGACCATCCCGAAGCTCCTGGAAGTCACCTTTTCTTATCCAACCGGGCTACTGACTTATGTGATATGATTGAACATACTAATCAAGCCGCAGTTTATCAAGCAGACTGGAGACGCCTAACTTGTTTAGCTTCACTTATTGATTCTCCTGATTGCTCTAAAGGACGTGATTCTAACCAGACTGTTTCTATATGTAATCCTATCCATTCTATTACCAATCATTTCTACTCGAATGCGACTCAAAATACTGCGGTTATTTCTAGTACCGAATATCTGGATAAATGTATTAATGATGAAGTTATTATGATAAATTCGCCACCCTCGTCTAACAACCTGACTACCAGGAATACTGCAGCACAGGTAGTATTGCACTTTACGTCGTCATAACTTTGTACCTCAAGACTCTTCGTAGCCATGTTTGGCTACCTACTTACTTGTTTTGTCATGTTAGTAGGAATAGTATTCTTACGACCATTTCTGCTAACAACAGCCAAATCCTGGTAACAGTACTTGGTATATTAGTTTATTGCGTGTCAACAATGAAGCCATGTTCCCACCTCAATTATAGTTTTCTAAATGCGTTCTCATTCGGATCCAGTGCTCTTCAGTTTTTCTTCTTACTTAAATTCATGTTGTTGCATAAGGGTTTTTTTGACAACTACCCTGTTTGCTAACTAGAATATTCACCTCAAACACTCCTGTTCAAGTTTTTATCAGCATACTGAGATTATTAAAAAAAACGTTTTCAGATTGAATAATCATCTGTAGCAGAAACTTCGACAAAATTCAAGACCTTTTAAACATCTTGAAGGAAAGGTTGGGTACGTTTACATGCGTTTCTCACTTCTGTCGTGTTAATGGCTACGAATAAGTTATCATTTGCATGTCTGTGTTTGATTTGATATAAAACATTAAGAATTAACCCTCCACATGTTTCGAATTTAATAGACTGAATATATTTGTTGACTGTAAAAAATGTTTGTATGAACATTTTTATCACATGTTAAGGCTAATCAAATTAATGTAATAATTCAGGTGGAGGATTACATAGAATAGCTTAATTAATGCATTAAACTTAATCATTCCCTACACAGTTTGTGTGATCTTTGTGGGAAAAATACTAAACTACCTTCTGCTTCGGTACCGTCAGATGACAAACGCACACAAACGTACCTACTGATTTAACTGAAAATGAGAGTTAATGAAGCAGTTAAAATCCTTATCCAAAAACTCAAACTTATAATTTCCTAATCTTATCGGTCTTATTACATTATGGGGCAACTTTTAAAGTGATGCTCATGTGTTTCTGTTGGACGAGTATTCCACTTTGCTTATCACATTGCACTTGAGTCTTTGTTATATTGTGATAGTCGACTAGGTAGCGATATATATGTTCATACTATTCCTCAACCTAATGTTTTATAAACTTTTTGAATAGATGGAGATTCATTCAAATGAAGGTTCTAAAAAAGTAAAGGAGGAAATTCATGTTGATTCAGTCAGTGATAGAAGAAAATGGTGGGTGTTGTTGATTATTGTAAATATATTTAAAGTTCATGATATTAGTTTTCTGTATGTACACGAATTTCAGAGGAAAACCAGTTGAAAAATAGATTACTAATGTATATTCGAGTCACCAGTTATTATTAACGTGGACTAATTTACCATAGCATATTAGCATGACGAAATGAAATTAACAAGATAAATAACAAAGGAGACCGGAATAATATAATAGCAATGAAAATGAGAAAGATTAAGTATCGAAATTATTTAAATAGGAATAATATATTTGTAAAATCTCAGCGAATGAATTTTTTAAATTAAATCCAACGTTTCGCCTGGCAATCTGGTCCAAGCTTTTTCAAGGAAGCTTACTTACTGTCGACGAGTCTCAAACAGTGGCGAAAGTACTTTATTGTCTCTAATTTACAATAGTTCGCCATCTGAAGTCAGTCCTTGATGAAAGCGAAAAAATTGGACTGATGTTCATAGTTCATCAAAATAACTCATTGTTAATGTGTAGGCAAAAATGCTGTGTTACAATGCACTTGATTATCACTCATAAGATTATATCTGTGAAAATTTTAATAGTCTAATTTTTTTAATAACTATATGTTCATGTTCAAATGTATGCGTACGTGTTTTGGATACCTTCCATGTTCCAACTCATTATTAATGATAAAAGTGTAAATGACTTCAGTCTCAACATTTGAACAAATATTGTGAATCAAATGTATAGCAAACATTAGATGTACAATTATGTTTTTAGTAGTCTCAGCAATCAAAATTCTAAGTAACTCCAAAGTTTCGCCCTGTGGTCTGTTTGAAGCCTTTCCTGGGAAATGTCCAAAATTATCAAAAACAAAATGAGGTCGAAATCATTTCTATACTAAGCATTTATCCAATCACGCCCCCAAATGCCCTGGTACGGCCGAGAGTGGGGAGAGTCTGATCTCCCTCTCGAAATGCTCTCATATGACCACGCGAATATATAGCCTCTGTCAGGGAAGTCCTACTCAATGCCTTCTCGTGATGGGGGTGTTGTTCACAAAAGTGACAGGACGAAAAGCGAATGTCCGGCGCATCAACCGGGTCGGTCGACACGGGAAGTCCACCTAGGGAAGTTCGAAAACCCTGATTCCAAACCAATGGTGCGCATGGACTCCAGTATCCTGAGGGAACAAACGGTGTACGAATCAACCGTTGATCACCGGCTACCATGGGAATGCATCTCCTCACGATGCTCCAATGCCTTGTGGATTAGACCTTTAGGTCGAAGGCTCATGGTGTGGCCTCCTAAGAAAAATACCTGCTTCAGTTTGGGCACCTGGTCAGTATCACAGCCCTCTTATTTATTTTATTTATTTAAACACATAAATATTGGTACAAGGAAGCACCAGATAAATATGCGCCTCACAAATCTCATTCGATTTGTGTGAGGGCTGTGATACTGCCCAGGTGCCCAGACTAAAGCAGGTGGTTTTTTTAGGGGGCCACACCCGGAGCCTTTGACCTAAAGGTCTAATCCACAAGGCATTGGAGCATCGTGAGGAGATGCATTCCCATGGTAGCCGGTGATCAACGGTTGATTCGTACACCGTTTGTTCCCTCAGGATACTGGAGTCCATGCGCACCATTGGTTTGGAATCAGGGTTTTCGAACTTCCCTAGGTGGACTTCCCGTGTCGACCGACCCGGTTGATGCGCCGGACATTCGCTTTTCGTCCTGTCACTTTTGTGAACAACACCCCCATCACGAGAAGGCATTGAGTAGGACTTCCCTGACAGAGGCTATATATTCGCGTGGTCATATGAGAGCATTTCGAGAGGGAGATCAGACTCTCCCCACTCTCGGCCGTACCAGGGCATTTGGGGGTCCTCACACAAATCTAATTTGATTTGTGTGGCGCATATGTATCTGGCGTCCCCTTGTACCAATGTTTATGTGTTCAAATAAAATAAAAATCACGTCCAAACGGTTATTCGGTTTGCTGTGAAAATATGAATCATTTCATGTATGTCCAAAGTGTTCCACGTAAAGATGTGTACATAAATCATTGTCATCATAATTCAGTGAGAAAAATGAGTCGTTTATTTTTGTCGAGGGTCAAATAAACTGTTTTGCATATCATTAAGCTAAGAGTACATTCGAGTGGATCTTGTCAAAAAATATTATTTAAGTTCTGCATATCTAGCCGAACAAAGATTTTTGTGGTGGTTAAATAGTATTTTTCTAATGAGACAAAACTGTATTGCTAATGTTTCCAATGGTTTTTAAAGTCATTTGCTTTTTACGCAATTCAGATTCATTTCCAGTTCAGACAGTGGCTTTTGAAACTAATATCAGACGTTAAATCTTATCACATTGGTGTGTCTAAGGGAAGCGGTATCAATATACATGACATAAGGTAACCTCATTCATGTTTCTGTTCTAGACTGTGAGCCACATGTTCTGTGAGAGTGAAGAATATTGTGTCTGCCTAGACTTTGATACGTGGTAGACAGTTTGAATCCGTGATTAAATATTCGAAAGACATAGTATGACTTATATAGCTTGTTTATCAGTTAGTTGATTTAATACGAAATAATCTATTATGTCGCACTGGACAGTTCTGAAATTTTTGTATTGAAAGCTGAAGATGTCGTTTGGAGACCATAGATAACTCTGAACTAATATTCTCATGTGATAGACAGGAATCATCAACATAGGACCTGGCACAGATTTGCTCGGACCAATTTACCACGGTATGTTGGCGCGGCGAAATAAAATTGATAATATAAACAGCAAGGGAGGTTGAAATAATGAGGTAGCAACGAAAATTAGAAAGACTAAGCATTAAGGTTATTGTTTAAAAAGACAGAATGGAAAATTATGTGACAAGAGATTCTAGGACTCAGTACCAAAAGTAAGATGTGGAATAAATGCATCTGGGTCATTGTGAACGATTTAACTCCATATTATCCAGAGCCTCCAACCACTAATCGTGGTTATCTTGTAAACCCTAACCTACATTCTTCAAACTAATAGTCAGTGACTTCATGAACTGACCACGTTTTGATTTGGCCGACCCAGCTTTCTTCTAATCTACCCTTGCATTAGTAAGCATCACTCATCGAGGTAAGTAGCGAATGGGTATACGTAATGCATATCTTAACATCTCAATCGGTGAAGATCCACTTCCTTTCTAAATCCATGCTGAGATTTCGTCAGACATCAATCAATGAGACTCCCAAGATAACTATTGTGATCAACGCAGTTAAATTCTTCACTGCCTATAGCTTGTCCATGTGTTCACGCAGACCGGTCCTGAAGTAATATTTTACATTTACAGTGCAAGAAACACATCCCGAACATGCTTGCATTGTTGCTCAGGGCAATCAAGTGACAGCTCTTTTATCAGCGTCTTCACTAAATGCAACTACGTCACAGCCGTATTCTAATTTTATTAATGTAACTCCTGATGAGAAATAAAGCCCTGAAAAATTTGTTAAAGGTGTTATTGCCAATAGAATATCTATCAAAAAGTTATAAAAATGGGATATTAGGAAACCCTGGCAAAAACCGTCTTAATAAGCTCTGACTCAATCAATAGTTTCTGAGTAGACAGCCCTCCTAAGGATTTTGGGTTTCTGTAGTAGGCCTTTCAATGATAACCATTGCCACAGGACCTCTCTGTCTACATAGTCGCATGCAACTTCAAGGTCTAGAAACTCCTTTCAGAGTCCAGTTTCAGTGAGTATACTTATGTCTTAACACCTGATGAAAGTGAATATTTGGTTTGCATATTCACATTCAGGTCCAAGACTAGCTTAGTTTGCCATGGTTCGCCCTTTACGGGCCTTAGGTAATGGTTGAAGGATTATTAAGCCTAATATTTCAGACACTATACTAGTCAAACTGATTCCTCTGCGGCCATCACAAGAGGGTTTTCGTCCTTCCTTTTAACAATCAGCGTTCAAGACTAATCAATTGGGACCAAGTCCAATCTCCAGACTCTAACTAATATTTCAGTCAAATTGACCGATAAAACCAGAGTACCCTTCTGAGTATCTCTGGGGTTAATTCTTTAGAGCTTTCAGGTCTCCCTCGTTTTAGATTACCTGTAGCCCTTCCAACATCATCAAGAGTTGAAGAACTTGTGTCGATTTGCTATTCAAGTTGATTGGGCATAGAGAGTAACTAAAGAGTAGCTAGAGGCCAGTTGTTCTATTTCCTAGTGTTCTGCCCTTTTACCTAATCTATATTATTAGTGAATAATAGTTCCATCCTTTTCTAAGATAGTCTTACTAACACCTGTCTTTTTAATACCCGCTTTGTTATTAAGTCTGAACAGTTGTCTACTATTGAGTCTGCCTTTCCCGTCTTTTTTTACCTTTGTCGCTTACCACTGCTCATGATCGTAGCATGAACTTTTCATTTATTTATATTTGAGCTGTCGCTCTTCATCGTTCTCTGAACCTGCTGGGCTGAGTTTTTAAGCCTCTGCCAGTTTAGTGAATGCCACCTAAATTCACTGGTCTTTCCTAGGTTGCCGTTAGATGCCACTGCTTTATTTACAACTGCCTGGATATCCTTCCCAGCTTCTTCAAGCCGGATCATTCATTTACTATTAACTAGGTGTTTAGTTAATACTTCCCTGAATGTATCCTTGACCTTTTCGTCTTCGAAATAATATCTAGCGGGTCTTCTTACTGTAGCATTCCTACGCCCAGTAAAACACCTGAGAGGTCTTGCTATCACTAGGGCGTGGTCAGAGTCCATGCGTACGCTTCAACGTGATCGGCAGTCTTCTATCGATCCTTCAACGATGGCTGATGGGAGTACAAAATATTTGTGTCTATTATTATGCGGAGGTTTAAAGTTGCTAAGTTAGACAATGTCTTTAAGCACTCAGCTTTCAACCATTGTCTCATGTTAGAGTACCTCACCAACCATTCGGTTTGTGAAATCGAGTATCACTGGCTCTCATGCACGTGATGCGTTTCTCAAAGCCAAGTTTATAGACGTACTTGGCAAGTAATGTTAGTTGCCATGATAACCGATTATGTAAATCTGAATAATAGTTAATCTACTAATTTATGTGACAAAGTCCGTATGAACAATAAACAGATAATTATTGATTGCTTGAGAGTAATGATAAGTTTACATTTTTATCACGAACCTACTGTTTTCCAGTTATTTCAAGTAGTGCTGAAATTTATTTGCTTTTTTCTTAAATCATGTCAGGGTTTCTATGCATCCAAGACGGCGTCTGTCTAGTCATCCTGTAGCAACAGATCAGTGCACTTCTCTCAATAGTATTATTGTAAGTCCTGTGTAAATATAGAATAAATACTTATTAATTAGTAGTAGTTAAATGATTTCTAGTTGTTTCTGCACTATAAGACATATAAATATGATCTTTTTTCATTTACCAGAGGAATAAAATGTTCACAGTAGCTTCGGTATGCTTTTCGTAGTCTTTTTCATATTTCATAAGTACAGCTGTCTTCTTAGTTTTCTACTCTATAGATGCTGAACATCATTTAGTGGGAGATGTGTTGATAGGGCATCATTTAATTAGTTTCCTTATGTCTTTTGTTATTACTGTTGAAAGAGAACTTTATGTATCCGGATGTGAATATTTATATTCCACTTAAGCAAGTCATTGATTTCAAGTCGATTCAAGTTTGTTTATGGCACTGGAAAACTTTATGAATGAAATATCTCTCATATATTCTCTATCAAATATATAGCAACGAAATGTGATATTATTGTTTGGTATAATCCGATCCTTTACAAATTGGATGGATAATGTAGAGTAAAAAGCACCTGGTATGATCTTTGAATTCTCAACTTCATCGTTCTGAGGCCTTTTAGGAGACCAGCACGTTAGCTTTAGTTTCCTGGAGTACTAATTTCACCTATTATATAAATCTGAGGCTACGAAACGTTATTAAATACTTTCATATACCTCAACATTTATATATTTACCAATTTTCGTCAAGTAATCTTAGTATTTTGTAAAAGCTGAAAATTTTGTTCCTTCGATAACTAAATATCACTTCTAATCAGTAGATGAATGTCTGTTTATTTTAGTTTTGAAACTTATCATCCTACTGTAATCAATGTCTAATTTTATTAATGCAACTTAAACAATGGTTATTTGTTGCATCACAGGAGATTTTTAGATTTCAGCAACGGTCGACTGTTATATTCTTAAGTTTCTTTCCTTAAACAAATTGAAGTATAGTGCACCATTTTCCTTTTTTTCAGCAGTTTGAATGGTTAAAATGCTTCAAATCATAGTACGTCTTTAGCTCAAAAATAAATTTTCTCATTGTATTTACTCAGAGGCAGATTTGAAGCACTTTGTTGGATTTTACGATATGATTATTCATTTTCTTTCGATTCTTTGTTGAGTAAACAAAAGCTAATATTGGATAATGTCCATATAGTCAAAGCAACAAGAAAATGTTGTGAAATGTGTCAAAATATCATTGACGTATAAATTCATTGTCTTCCCAGCTCATAAAGTGTAGTATTCATTTCCATACTTCTATACTATTCTGTAAATTGTGTTAGTGACAACCTTTCTGTTTGTTTCTTTGATACTTTCAAAATTGATAGGTCAATGTCAATCCCCAATCTTATCCATACTCAGGTCATACACGCTGTTTACGGGAATGTAATATTTGTCACTGGAGAGGGTAAGTAGGATGTTTATGTTACATGATAGTTGATTCATGACATGTTGATTAGTTTTTAAAAAGAAATACCTAATTGTACAGACAATTGTGCTCAAATGGTCTCTTTCCATTCAATTTTACAGCCACAACTTTAAGTCAGTTTATACTTTGCCAATCCACTTATGTATTCAGGTCCCTCAAGAACTATCCTTTCACAATAAAGATTGACATAACCTCTCTACTTAACGTTGTTATAACTAATGTATCTATTTAAAGTCAGAAGGCATTACAAAGGAGATCGAGGTAATAAAAACAACATATAACAACATGTTTGTTCAACGATTTTGATACTATCTTCTTTGTTTGTATTTGTACTAGTTTCACCCAAACATTAATTTTGTGTGTAGAATTGCTACATCTAACTTCTTACGTCTTAGTATGATACAAAGTGCATTCCTGAAAAGATCACATATAAACAAGTTCCATGTAACGGTCATTACATGATATATAATAATTTTTATGCAGATTATCGTAAACAACCTTGATTCCTTGCTAAACTAAAGAAACTTTAAGTCACAGGAAAATTTGAAACGGTGGCTTCCTAAAATTAATTTTCATCATAAGCAGGAGTTAGTCAAGATCTTCTTCAACATAATGAAAACACTACGCTGAAAGAATAAGCTAAGTAAATTTTTTAGTTTCAGTTCAAACAATTACTCTCTAAAGCAATATGTTGTGTGGTAACGTGTAAAGTTTCTAAATTTCCAATCATCAGTATTTAAAGTGTGTAAGTGTTTCAGTCTCGAATATATTTACTTCAATAAGTCTCAAAGTCGTTAGTATGAAATAATAAGTCACTGCGTGTGGTTATTAACTGAGGATCCAAGACATGTACTGAGCTGTTTGTATCTAGTTTTCACAATATTAGACATTAATAACACCGTTCATGATATATCCCAGCGGTACAGATGGACCCACTCAATGTCTCACTTTGAATCTCGGACATCTTACTATTTTTACGCATCACTTCTGTTTTTGAACTATGTACTGTCATTTCAATCTTATTATTGGTTCTTCGTAATTGTGTGGAAGCTTAAATGATATTTACTACGTTTGGATAAGTAGTAAGCAGAAGTGAGGTTTCGAAACAGTCTTACCTAAATTATCGTTTATATTTTTGTTGTATAATTATTTAATACTTCAACTATCATATCTTTGTATTCCCCTGCTTGTAAGATTTCGCTTGACTGATTAACTACTGTTTTGTGTTTTAGCTTTTCCAAGGTATTGCTAATTTATTACTGACCTATCACTCAGTTCTCTTCTACTTATGTTGCAGTTATGCTCATTTTGTAATTTCTTTATTCTGTTGACATAGAGTCAGAATTTTGCTGTTCTTGTACAGGTGGTTAATTAATTCGAGCCTACCTACTTACTGAGTTTATATTTATTTAAATACATGAACATTGGTACAAGGAGGCACCAAGTAGATATGCACCACACAAATCGTTGGATTTGTGTGAGGGCTGAGATACTGCCCGGGCGCAGTGGTTTTCTTAGTGGGCTACAACCCGAGCCTTTGACCTAAAGGTTTAGTCCACAAGGTAGTGGAACAACTTAAGGAGATGCAGTCCCATGGTAGCCGGTGACCAACAATAGGTTCATACGCTATTTGTTTCCTTAGGCTCCTGGAGCCCATTTGCACTAGTGGTATGAAATCAGGGTTTTCAAACCCCCTATGTGGATTTTTCGTCTCCAACGACCAGGTTAAGCGCCAGACATGTGCTTTTTGTCCTCTCAATTTCGTAAACAACAGTAGTGCCGAGGAAAGGCAGTGAGTGGGACTTCCCTGTCAGTGGCTATATGCACGTGGGCATGTGAGAGCATTTCGAGAGAGAAAGCTGACTCTCCCCACTCTCGGCCGTACCAGGGCATTCGGGGGCACTTGCTGAGTTGTCCTCTTTTGTCGGGTGAGTTAGCGTGGTAAGTTGTATTCTGGACTAATAGTCATTTTGTGTTATTCTTGGTTGTCATCTCACATTTATCGTGTGATTTGTCAGCCGAAGGTCATCGGTACTGGATAGACAATCTAGGCAAGCTAATCAGTACACGGTTTAGATCAAAACAACTGTTCTCCTGTTTTACGGTTCGATCTCACAGGGCCAGATAACTAGACAAGTGAATCTGATTATTTTTATCGACACATCCGTGTGATACGTAACACGTTTTTCCATCAGATGGTCATTTAATCACTAAAATAGTTATGTTTTCGTATGTAGTCATTAGGTTAATAGTTGTCTTTGGATGCAATGCATACTTGATATCTAAATTGTTATATCTTGTGACCGCCTGTATGCCCTGTTAATGTATAACGTGATAATACCGCCAATTAGAGGGTAGCGATTTATCGATCGAACCAATGACACACGAAACCCGTACGGGCAGTCTAGAGTACTTGTCGGTCTTGCTTTCTGCCTAACCCAGCCAGTTATGTCCAGAACACCAATCTGAGCCTCTGCGGTATGAATAATTATATTTCAAACATACTGAGTTTAAATACCAATCAAACTGACCACATCGTACCATAAAATAGAAAATAACATTTGTACAAGATTTAGCCAAATGTGGTTGTGAATGTGGGAAGTAGTTATCAATAGACTAGGGATAACTCAAGAACGATAAGTCGTATAGTAATAGTTCATGGATCAAAACAAAGCTCATAATAAGAGGGCCGCGAAAATGGATTGTTTAGTTAGTTAACAATTATACAATAAAAATATATGCATAATATTAGTTCATAAATAAATCCGGAAGTTACCATTCATTATCCTTACCGGGGCATAACATAAATATCTATTTCATAGGTGACAGCTGAAAATATCTTAAAGTGGAGGATATCAGACTACTCCAAAAAAATATTCTTTTCTTCAATGTTATTACCTCAACTCGCCTGCTAATGCAGTCCTTAGTATATCGATCCTTTTATCCAATAAAGCTCAAAAGCATTATCTTGCATATTCAGTATAGATAGATGGTGGTTGACAGTAAAATCCAGGACGCGCGTTTCGTTCTATTTGAAACTCGTTACCTACATTCAAGTCTTGATGTTCACTCTGGGACTTACTGGTAATATCAAGGCAACCTTCACAAGATACATATATGCCAGAAAAGACTGACCAATTGTAGTCCTAAACATCAATGGGAATATCCAAACAACCAATATGTATGAACTAATATTATCCTCCATGGTTTGAAAAAAACAATGGATCCATAAGAAGTTCGATCATTGATGACCTTTTAAACGTCGGTCCTTCGACTAAAACACATTGTTCAAACTCATCTGTATGGTAAATAAAAACCTACTGAAAACAGTCACTCTGTCAGTCGTGGGTAACGCGGAACTTGGCTTTCTTTTCCTTACATCGCTGAAGCATTCACTTTACATTTAAAGAATCCTGAACTGCATATGCATCGAAACTTATTTAACATATAAATAAATAATATATTTGTAATATCTCAATGAGTAGAAAAATTTGATTTTCTGACGTTTCGTGACTCAGTGTAGGCCACTTCTTCAGAGAATAAATAACCAAATTAACATTAATCCAAGTTTAAATAATACAACGGAACAATCCAAGAATATTAGGTGATCAATCAAAAACAGGTCTGAATAAATCAATGTCGCGTCATTTCATTGCGGTCAAGGTGATTCATAAGTGACATGTATGTAATTTTGTGTGTATCTGTCCACTGTAAATGATGAAAAATGTGAGACCTTTATAGTGACAAAGGATAGAGTTAATTTATAATGTAATGGTGTGAAATTGTAAATAATATTAGACTGGTTGACTAGGATAGATAGTCCAAGTAGGATGTATGGTAAGGCCTTCCTTTCTATTGAGGACAGTGGGAATAAGCATTATATGGAAAGCTTCAGCTACTCTTCTTTCTTTGTGATTGGAAAAACCTTTCTGTAGTATTTTGATGTTTTTGAAATCAATTTGATGATTATTGAAAATGGCATGAACCGCTAATGCCGATTTAATTTGAAGTCTATCTAGTTCTACAGGATTATTAGGAGGTTTCTTTTCTACGAGGGGTAACGAGAGCACGTATAGAAAGTCGTCTCTTAGTCGAACCATGTGTAGGGCGGCAAATGTCTTTGTAGCATGGTCCGAGACAACTATACGAGACTATCGTTCCCTTGCCTTGGAGCGATTGCTTGTGTATGTTAGGGCCATCGATTGAATAATACTGAAGTTGGACACATTATGCTAGATGATGGTGGTTGGGGTATACATGACGTATGCTTAATCACTGCCTACATCAGAGGGAGACGTTTGCTGGTGTAGGAGTAGGTGAGGAAAAATCTAGGTGAAACAAAACGCGATGCGGCACCATGTAGGTAAGTGCAAACTACCTAGTTGGGGTCCTCATGATCATTGTAACCAGTGGTTAAAGGCTCAATAACATGGCTCAGAATCGTTCCTAATCTCTCAGATGAATTCGATTTTTGTCTTAAAATAATTATGTTTTGTTTCGCGAATCCATTCTTTTCTAAATCATAATATCTATACCTAGTGTTTTCTGCTATCATTGATACTGTCGCTATTTCTACTACTGTGGGATTTATTGATAATTTCATCTCCTTGTGCTGAAGTGGTGTGGTAACTTAAATTGACCCACACGTGTTCCAGGTTCTACGTTGCTTATGACTAATTAACCCGAAACCATTTAAGTTAGAGCAGTTGCAGTTAACTTTTATCTTTGTCCAAAGCCTGAACATAACACTACTTGCAATATCTGGACCAGTGTCCATCTGAAGGTTAACAGGTGTTCCATTAACCGAAATCTCAGTATATTTCCACTTTGCAACCAAATGAACACTCGAAATGTCTAAGTTTGCACCCAAATATGCTTTCTACTGCCGATCCCCCATTCATTTTTGCGGGAATCTGTGTTAAAGCTGAACTGTGAACATGACCAGCATCAATAGAACCTTGGCCACACATTTACCTAGATTTTAATGAACCATTCCAGGAAAAACAGTTCCTCATTGTCATCGATTCATTTTCAGAATGAACAAAAGTCTTTATAGTGGACAGTCTTTTCACCAATGCTATGGTACGGAAACTTATATCGATCGGTCGTTCTGGACTACCACATGCAGTATTTTTGACACTGTAACACGCTTAACTTCAATCCAGTTCGATGTTTTCCGTGTGGAAAACAATATTAATCACATCAGATTCCCATCATGCCACTGTCAATTAAATGGTCAAACAAGACGGTTTATTGATTTGCTAGAAAAGCAGTTGAGAAGGCATAAGGGGAAGAAGCATTAGAAGAAATCGTGCAGAATTTACTGCTAAGCTGGCACTCAACACAGATTCCCACAATAATGAGTGGGGAGTCGCCAGTAGAAAACATATTTTAGCGGTGAGTTCAAATGATTTTGCACAACTTGGAATTATAACTGACCCTGGAGGTTTTCATCTTTACGAATTTTTTTTGGTGAGAATTTTCCGCAGTTTTAAATCAAAATGGCTATGTGGCACAATATAAAAGAAACAGCCAGTCACGCACTAAATGAAAGTGAGTGAGATATTCTAATCAAATATAAAAGAGTGTAAAGACGACTTAGTGATGTGAACAGAAAAACAAGCAGCTATTATAAACTACGGATACTATTTTTGGGACGTTATGTCATTTAATTCCAAGCCTGTGAAACACTCACATTTGTTTTCACCCTTAGTTTATTCTACAGACCATAAGTTTTCGTTTGATGTATGATTCACTGCCATACCCATTTCTGTTCCAAAGTTATTGTAATTTAAACGTAGTCTTTGCTACTCTATTCTTTTACTCTAAACCCCAGTTTTGGACATAATTGTTTGTGCGTTGTGGTCATGTTAATCACCTATATTACTCGTGCACCTTTTTGCACTAATCTTAATTCGAACCAGATTGGGATCGAGAATAGATCGAGTGGTGTTCCAGTTGGCTCGTCTTCTGTCGTGTGCGCTTGTCAACCAATCAGGTGATAGAATGATTTTCATCTCTCTATCCGAGGCAGATAGACTTACTTCGAACTCGTGATTCTAGCCTCAAGGTTGAACCATTCAGCCTATTGTGTCAAGGCCTTAATCTGTATTGAGACAAGTTACCTTCTGTATATTGGTGCGTAGACAGATCAAGGACGTAACACAACTAATTGCAGATTGAGAAACCTTGCTTATTATTATTATTATTAGCTTTATTCAATATTATATTTTTGGTACAATATAGAATTCTCAGCACAAAGTACTTCAACAAGTTTCCGCTTCTTACTTCTTCGTCCTTCCTGACGATAAATATTGAGTTATCGCCAGTTAGAAGTTTAAAGCCCAGTCAATCGACATCTGGATAATCTACATCCTTCTCGCTGCATATTGCTAGCAACCACGATATCTCTGATTAGGCCTTCCGTAGCCTTTATAGCGAAAGGTCTTACACTTTTTCAGAAACTCACCTGAATAGGTTGTGCGATTAGTAGGCATAATGATGTATTAAAACAAACAAAATTAGATAACTTGTTGAAATATCTAGATGACAGGAACAGGTAGCCCAGATGTTTAAACAGGCCGCTATTGTAAAGTACTAATAGATCCAGGGGATAAAATAAAACCGAAAAGTTTGAATTACTACCACAAAACCAACCCGGAATATCACAGTGAATTTAAGAAGTACAACTAACCTTCAAGTTGATCCTTCTGAAGAACAGTACTCATACGTATCCAGGCAAACCAGGGATTGGATAAAACATTAGGTCTTATTCACTTTAATATTCCTCTTAATTTAGTGTGATATTTATTCAATATAACATTCTCTTGTATGAACTTTGTTTAAAACCTATTTTTCATATTTCCCTTACGGGTGATATTCACTATGTAGTCATCAAATATCAGTGATATATATATGGTCAGTAAGTCATTGCCATATTTTTACAAGATAAATACAATCCCGATCTGTCATCAGTTTTTATCTTTTTCTCATCGTTCAAATCTCCATGTCTTCCTCTAATATATCCATTCTTTCTAGTTATAATATTGATCTGTATTTTCCATTTTATTATTGTATTTGTATCTTTCAATTTGTATTGTTTTTTCTTTGGTACTGATGATACTATTTACTTTCACTTCTTAGTTTTTCTTTATTTTGTGGATTTCTACTCAGTATTCTTATAAAATAAGAATTTAAACTGGAATAAATTTTGGCGAATCCTACTTTATCTACGTTTTGACTGAAAATCTGATTAAACAAACAAAAATTTCATATTTTCATCTGTAGCAAATCGTTCAGTGAAATGAATTTTTTTACTTAGGTGTGTGATATCAATAGGCTTCCCACTTAGAATCGAATGTCTGTTACCTTGGACACAACTGTTATTAAATAGCAATATACGTATTACTTGATTGCCTGTCGAACTGAGTCACTTTTAGTGGTTGAAGTTTTTTATCAGTCTGAGTTTGTGCTCATTATTAAATATAAGTAAATAAAATTAATAAAATGTAACAATTACATTTTCAACATCTCGACCTTTATCCTTTCAGATCTGAACCTTATTTGGTGACTTTACCTTCGCAACCTCTGGACACGCTGAAGTTGAAAGAACTCTATCAGTCGTACTGCTCGTTTTGCTTCAAAGATTTACCTTGTACTTGTAGTAGACTTTTGTCTCTTTCTTCCGATTCTCATGATTCATGTGATAATGGTTTTCTTAAGAAAACGTGTGATAATAAAAATATCTGCCTGATTTGCTCAGAAAAGCTTACGAAAGGCAATATTTCCAACGATACTTTTTTGCCAAACAACTGTTCACAACAGAACAACAATATTCATTCAGGTATTTCGTCTAATAAAACTCAATGCAATTTTATTTCAGCTGATAAAAATGGTCACCATAGTAACGTTCTTGCTGATGGTCCCAATACAGAACAAATGGAACTCAATTTTAAGTACAACCCTCATACACCCTTTTCTGTGTCTGAGCAGAGTGTCTTTAAGCCATTAACAGATTCTCCTGGTCATTCTAGTACGGTTTCTCTCTCTCAAGGAGTTCGCCGACGTAAACGATTACCAAGCAGCTGGTCTACTATTAGTCGAACACTGATAAATAACGGAGATACGTCAGGTAATTTAGGATTTGTCATCAAACTGTTTAATATCACTATTTTTGTTTTCTGTAATTACATATATCACACATGGACATTAAAGTTTTAAATATGTATTCGATAATCTAATTTTTCTTTGCTTTTTAGTGTTATCTCATATTTGTCTTAACCTTAACCTATACAGAAACGGAACGATTTCATATAGATACACTTTTTGACTACGTCATATTAGCGCTATTTCGCATGAAAACTAATTAACAAGGTTCTTATCTTTGTCACTTGGACTTCATCCTTCCTTTTGTTGTCACCACTGTAACATAGAAAGTAATACATCCTTTATTATATCATAAATTTATTCTCACGTTTTATGTTTAAAGTAATTCTCAATTTTGTACTTGAATCATTCTTACAACATTCTTTTATTAGTGTTGATTGTGACCATAACTGGAAGTATCTGATAGCATTTGGATTCAAAGTAGTAAAAATTGAATTCATATCGGCTTAAAATTGTTAATTCATAATACATAGTATGCTCAACATTTGGTTAACAGACCTCAAATAAAAATGCTAAGTACATACGTTTTTCGTTATCGAGTTTGGCATTAGTTAGTTGAACCTAACCAACATGAATATAAAAAAGGAAATAGTTATGAACTGTTACATAGAAGAAATATCATCACGTACTTCATAAGGAAATTCTATACATTTTGCAATACTTATATATTATTTGTGCTAGAAAATTGGTTCACCATTCAAAGTCACATTCACAATGCTGTCGATTTGCTTACAGCCTGGCTTTTGTAACCATACCTCACAATACGATTGAAATATCAAAATTTTGCATAATTGGTTTCATCGAAAGATTTTTTCTTCGTTTTTTTTAAGCGAACGTTACTCATTGTAACATTCATCCTATCCATAGACATCAAACTGAATTGAATCGGTGTTTATCGAATGGAAATAGCCCACGACACCCCTATATTTCATCTTTGACGACACAAACTATCATTCCAGGAAGCCAGTATGCCAGGACACGACAACATACTTCCAGCACGTGTGAAAGTACAACGCCTTATCATAAGGACTCAGGCAATTCACATAGTTCCCCTTGTTCTCCAGCTACAAATAAACAGGGAAGTATCAAATCCCCACTAGTTTCCTTATCACCTTCTGCTACACCACTTTGGGCGGACGCACCTACTTATGCTAAACCGAAAACTGGGAAACACTATGTTTCCAGAGAGGTGATTCAGGCTCTCTGTATCGACCAACAACAACAATTTTCGTCTGTTCCAGATAATGTGAAAGGCTTTGGTAACTGTTCTCAGATGAATTCGTCAGAAAATGTATGTCATATTGGGAACCATTCAAGTGAATCTGGTAAGGAGTTTATTGTATTTGTTTGTTAAGTCATCTTTATCATTGTAGTTTGTTCTTCAAACATTTCAAATGTGTATATTAAGTTGTAAAAATAAATTTTTGTTGTATATATAACAATACATGTGTGGCGTTTATAATTTCAAATCCATACTTAAATTAAGTGAATCCACTTGTCTGTATAGTTATCAGTATGGGGTTGCACACTAGACCGAAGGTCCTGGATTCGAATCTCGCGTGCGGGATTGTGGATGCGCACTGCTGAGGTATCTGTATAATGTTTGATTGTATTATTTTTATTTCAAGTTATTTATTACGTATACAGGTATGTTTTCTAATAAATACTCGTAGCATTTACAAAAAATATATAAAGACGGCCTTTTGCCTCTGTACGTTGACAATGTAAGTGTTATCATCCATTATGATACTTGTCACAAAAACCGTTGATTATCCGTGACTAATTCACTTTCAATTGACTAGATAGTAATAATGACTAAGTCATGTTACCCAATTACTAATGTCTCTATGTTTCACTATGCACCTGATGCTTAATGTAAACCAAAATTATGCTAAATAGTGATTAAGTAGCTAAACAATTCCATAATCGTTATTTGTAATTTAGAGAAGTTATGTTAAAATTAGAATTTCCCTCTATTATGAGTAGGAACTGTTGGAGCTGTTTATTTAAAGCGATTTTCATTCATTCGACTTTCAGTGCATTTTGATTGCGTTATTCAATTCATTGTGATTGTTTATTCAAGTGACATTTGTTCAGTTTGACAAATTCTTTAAATAATAACTGCTTAATGGAATCGGCCTATAACTAAATAAACTCGAATATTAATTAATCTTCTTTGGTCTCTACCAAATTGATCTTCCTTACGTCATCATTTTGGAAGTAGCCTCGGTTAGAAAAAAATGGAACTATTGTAACCTGGTATTGAAGAATTGTTAAGAGCTAGGGCTGTTATCAGAAACACAAAATATAGGCCTGGTGTTTCCCGTTGAGTTCTTTTTCAGGGATTTATCATTAGTCATTGTAAATTAAATCACGGGTTTCGTTATTGCACATTATCAAATAACGTTCTACAATTTTCTTTATAAGAGTTCTCAACCTGTAACTGTAAACTAATATCTTACCTCTTATTTTAGGTAGTACGTTAACATGCTTAACAGAGGCATTTGGGGGGAATGCTGTCTTTAAGTATAAACAGAAGCCGTCAAACGATCCTGCTCAATTTAAGACACCTTTTTATCCTGAAACAACAAATGTGTCGGATTTTAACTTTTTGTTTCAAACTACGTCTAATCGTGTTGTTGCGTCTCAAAGTGATAAGTCATTAAAAAATTCTAGGTAAGTATTATTTATTATGTCACAAGTACTTTCTTAGGCTAATCAGAAATTGTTTAGTAGGGTCAATGAATACATGTGTATCGTAATTACAGTTTATTTTGAAGATCTCTTCCTTTTCAGTTTCTTTGATTTCGCCCTTTTTTTAAATGCTATATATTCAGTTTTCTCTAAATTCCACCCTCAGCATACCTTTCTTATCATTTACTTACACCTGTTACCCCTCGTGAAGGAGCATAGGCCGCACACCAGTTTTCTCCATCCAACCCTGTCCTGAGCAATCCTTTACAGTTCTTCACAATTGTTATTCATATCTACTTCTCTTTCCCGGCGCAATGTGTTCTTTGGCCTTCCTCTTTTCCGCTTCCCTTCCGGATTCCAGGTTAGGGCTTTCCGCATGATGGAGTTTGGTGATTTCCTTAATGCACGTCCTATCCACTTCCAACGTCTTTTCCTAATTTCCTCTTCATCTGGAAGGTGGTTTGTTCTCTCCCATAAAACGCTGTTGCTGATAGTATCCGGCCAGTGAATGTTGAGTATTTTACGTAGACAACTGTTTATAAATACACATTCAAATCCGTCCTACACCTCCTAATAAATCTCTTATCTCCACGACTAACCGTTCTCACGTCCGTTCATCACTTCGCACTGCTAGGGCAAAAGATTCGAGTACGCGGAACGTTATTCTTGGTCTCCTGAAACCATGCTCTAAAATACATGTAGGAACTTTTAACGTCCGAACATTGTGCCCAATAGGACAACAGGCTTCCTTAGCTAGGACTTTACAATCTTGCACCACCGATGTGCGCTGCATCTCCGAAATGCGCATACAAGATCTGAGTAGCGTCATTCATTTCACCTCACCATGTCATAATAAAAAACCAACTCGATTCACGCTTCGTGTATCTGGAAGCTCTGATTCTGCTTCCCGTGGCCTCGCTGCCTTATGTATAGCGTTGAGTCCTAGGGCAGAACTAACTCTTTTAGACTGGATCCCAGTAGACAGTCGTCCGTGCGCTGTCTGAGAAAACGGAACAGTAAGGGCTCGGAAAGATAGGGACACACGTCGTTGCCTCTTCGTCGTCTCTGCCCACTCTGACACTGACTACAGCTCAGATGATGTAAAAGATGAGTTTTACAAAAAGCTTTCCGACCTTCTCTGAAAAGGTAGGCGCTCCGACGTAGTAATAGTGGCTGGTGACTTTAACGCTCAAGTAAGTAAACTGAGTGAAAGAGAAAGACACCTTGGTGGATCTTATGGTGATGGTGTCTGTTAGTGTAATTCGTCGTATGAATTCCGTATGATGTTGACGATCTTTTCATTTACGCCATAGTGTTGAAAGATGTTCCATGAAGTTCTCTATCCAAGCTGTTAAATGCTCTCTCATAGTCATGAAAGTTGATGTATAGTTGACGAGTTCCATTCAATTGATTGTTCAACAATGATCATTAGTGTCGCGATTCCGTCTATACACCACCAATCCTTACGGAATCTAGATTGTTGATTTCGAAGTTGACCGTCGACTGAATCTTTCATCCTGTTTAACAACACTCTGTTGAAAACTTCTCCTGGTACTGACAGTAGTGTGATGCCTCTGCAGTTTTCACATTTGCTCAGATCTCTTTTCTTTGGTATGTTGATGAGGTATCCTTCTTTACAGTCTGTCTGCACTTTTTTCTCTTCCCAAAGCTTCCTGAATAGAACGTGGAGCATCTTTGCAGTTACTTCTATGTCTGACTTTAGTGCCTTGGTTGGTACGTTTCCCGATCTTGATGCATTGCCACTATTGATTCGTCGGTTGGCCATAGTGATTTATTCGACTGTTGGTGTGGTGACAGCTATCGAAATACCTGCATGTGATGCTTCGATTTCCAGTGAGTTTGATGGATGTGATTTATCTAAGAGTTCCAATGTTATTAAATCTCGGTAACTGGCTTGTCTTCTTTGTTCTTGAACGGTCTCTTTGGTTTATTATATTTCCCTGTCAGTTTCTTCTTTATGTCATATGGTTGTTTCATATTTCATTCTCCTGCAGCTTTTTCCGCTTTTATTGCTAGCTCTTCCACGTATTTCTGCTTGTCGGTTCTAATGTTCTTCTTTACTTGCTCTTTTACTTCTATGTATTCAGCTTGTGCCTTGACTTTCTCTGTTCTTGCTCAGTTGTCGTTAATTGCTTTCTTCCTGTCCTTTTCTTGAATGTTGTCCAGAATATCGATAGAAATCCATTCTTTATGGTGGTGTCTATTGCGGCTCAGCACTTCCTGACACATTGAGGTTAGTGCTTCTTTGATCCCTTTCCAATAGCCCTCCATAGTAGTTTGTTCTTCTTTCAGTAGATTCCGTAAGGCTTGGGACCTGTTGTTGAGAGAGCTATCTTGAATTGGTTGAGTTTGTCAGTGTGTCGAAGGAAGGCTGTATTGAACCTTTGTAATGCTGTTTCTCCAGTTTTCCAGTGATACTTCAGCTTCGGTTTCACCTTAGCAACCACCAGGTGGTAATCCGAAGCTATGTCAGCTCCTCTCCTGGTTCTCACGTTTTCCATTAACCTTGCAAATTGTTTACTGATGCAAATATGGTCGATCTGATTCTCTGTAGTGTGATCTGATGAGACCCATGTATCTTTGTGTATGCGTTTGTGTGGAAATGTTGTTCATCCTATAACCACTTTGTTGAATGCACATAAATTTGCAAAACTCACCATTCTTGTTCCTTTCTCCCAGTCAGTCTATGTCGTCTCATAATGTCTTCATATCCGATGTTGTCCATTCCAACTTTGGCGTTTAGATCTCCTATCAGGATGGTGAGGTCCTTTCTTCACCATGATCGATTGTGGCCTCCCATAAAACTGATCTTTATCCTCGTCATTACCATCATTGGTGGGTGCATAACACTAGATAACATTCATTGTAATTCCCTCCTTTATTTTGAAGGATGCTTCGATGAGTCTCGATACATGTGATTCCCATCCTATAAGTGGTTTTCGTGCTTCTTTGGACAGCATCAGAGAAACACCTCTTTTAGTGTGGGGCACTTTCCTCTTTGTGATCGGAGTACAGCAGTATCTCTCCCGTACCTAACCTTTGCTATCCAGCTTGGGTCTAATGAGTTTCGCTGATTCCGAGTACCTCCGTGTTTTATCTCCTCGTTTCCGTAGCTATTTGATTAGTATTGCCAGTCTCCCACATTGTTCAGACATTCCATTAATTGTTGCTTTAGTTGTTAGGTCATTTTAAAATAAAGAGTCCAGATAGGTAATCATTTTGTTCTGATAAAGTAGAAATTGACAAATTACAAAATTTTGAACGTTTAGCAGATGTTTTGGTGTTAATCCCGTACAAAAAAGCATGAATTAAAATGTCACACATTTTGATTTTTTTTTCATTTATGTTCAACACTAGACTAATGACAATATCTACATTGAATATACATATAAAAATACACGTTTAAATCTAGTTTCCTATCAACGCTGTTGAACATCATCGTTGCACACATCAGCATAATCAAAGCATAACTACTTATCTATATTTAATACAATACTTTCAAAATATTAAATTTCCAATTTATAACAAATTTCACTGAACGAAGTTATCTAATTGGTGGGCCAGGAGTTGTGTAAACTAGATACCAAATAATAAATCCTTCACTAGAGAGTTACGAGAAAGCTATTAAGTAAGTAAACTATTATATCACCATAAAAATATCAAATATCAACAACTTAAGATGTCCCGATAGTAATCATACTTCGTGAAAGTTTAGTTGTCCGTTCTATTTCTGAAATAACTTCAAAAAAATTCAGTTATAGGAAATTTATGCTTGATTATTTGCGCTGTTATTAATGCACGTTGTCAAAATGAACTTTTATTATATTGTTTAATTATCATATTACTTAATATAGAAACATTTTCTAATCCTATATCAAACCAATTTTAAATTTTATATTAGACCGTATATTAATATGTTCCCGAATAACCTCCATGATGGGTTACAACCGTTGTCTGAAAAAAATTCATCGATAATAACTTCATCTACTTCAACACAGTCTATTCAGAGTCATAACGTTGAGAATAAACAACAAGATGTTGATCAAATAACCAACAATATTAGTAATAACTTCAAGTTACCAATGGATACGGATATCGTCTTTAAAAATCCTAAACATTATGTGAATTTATTAGGTTTACAAAAAAGTGGTTTCACAGTTTTAAATCACTCAGATGCAACAGTGTATTATATCAATTTTTCACCAAATAATTCAGGACGTAAATGTTTTGCAGACCCAAAATCTGTTCAATTAACGATGTAAGTCTTTGTTTTACTTTGTATTTTATCTTAGTGATTAAGTTTAAATGAATAACAACAGCAACAACTTGTTATTCTGTTTATTTGAAAATTAACTAGATGATGCATTTTCTAGTGACACAAGGTATTAGGGAATGATGGCAAATCAGTTGATGAGGTCATGAATCTTCGACTGAGATGGTTGGGCCACGTGTTACGTATTCCTGAACACCGATTACCACGACGCACTATGCTGATTAGTATTGGGGATGGTTGGAAGAGAGTTAGGGGCGGCCAATCAAAACGTGGTATCAGTGCTTGAAGTCACTAACTTCTAGTCTGAGCCATGTTGGCAGATGCAGACTACTTGGTTGGGGTCTGTGTGACTATCGTAACCAATGGTTGGAGACTCTGTGTGACATGGCTCAGAATCGATCACAATGGCGTAGGTGTATACACTCTTTGTCTTCCCTTAAACCTTGAGATTAAAATTGCTTCACAACGTTCTTCCTTGCTATACTATATCCTTATATACAACCTATCTTTTATATACTACCACCACTAAATTAACTATTTCTATGAATCCGGTGTTCATCTTATTGTGCTAACAAGGTATGGCATCTTGGACCGATGCATAAATGTACCTGGTCCTACGTTGTAGCTGACTGACTGGCTAATGTTCGCTTACTTCTGTTGTTCTAATTTTCACAATGGGAATCTTTAATAATGTTAATATAACTGATTAGTGCCTAATTTAAACAAACATAATTTTATAATAGTGTTAGTCCAAATGTACAGTTCAAGTTAAAACTCGAAACTTTTGATTATCTTCAAAAATGCCAGACTTTGGAGAAATATTTAAACAATTTACTTTTGCTTCATTGTACTTTCTACCAAATATTCCTGCTTCTGAACCTTAATTATTCTATTGATATCTCAGAAAACTGTATCAATATATGAATAATCTTTTAATGAATTCGTGCTTTAAATGATATAAGCTAATCATTATACTTCGATTTTTATTTGTTACTTAGTTCCGATTCCTCTTTGGTGCCACGTGTTCCAGCCTCACTACCTATTCTTTCAGGTCCTTTTCTGGACAGACCACCGACTCCACCAAGGCTGACGACATCTACGAATAATATTACTTCCGATGGTAATTCATCTATTCCCAAAACACCACAATTACATTACGCTCACCTTACACTATCTGACAAAGTAAATAGTTCAATGACAAATATGTGTCAACATAAAACATCAGATGATTTAACGAATGATGATGGTAATATTTGTCTTCAGTCAACTCAATCTTTACAGTGTGCATTATCTTCTAATCCAAATTGTTCTGAAACTGAGTTCCTGGATCGTAGCTGTAACCTAGTTGGCAATAATTGTCATGACTGTTCCTCACAAGGAGTAAATTATGTAACTATAGATATGAGACAGACTAAAGCACTCTCTGAATTAGAACAAGAATTGCGCATCAGTACTGGATTAGTACGTAATGCTGGTTATCATATACCAAGGTCAGAACGTATCCTTCACAATCAGAATCGTGATAATGTGAAAACTGGTAATAAATTCACAGTGTTACGCAGGCATTTTACAATTTCATGCAACCTCCCCGCTTATTTTGCCAGAAAAAAAGATGATGTAAGTGTGTAGTTTCCATTTGTTAGGAGGCGAAATTTTGTCACAAGGTATCTTTATGGGATATTCTATTTCAAGATTTTCTTCCTAATTAAAATATCTATTGTTGCAGGCGTTGTAGTCTGTGAGCTAATCTCTAACTGACTGAAATAAGTAGGCGTAGCAAAACGTTCTTGGGATCGGTAAACACAAATCTCGTATATCATAAACTATTTTCACAAGAAACAATTTTAGATCTTCTCAAGTAATTTATAAAATTATAATTCTTAAAAGCTATTATCTTGGATCTAACTATGCCTTCTAATTCAGTTACATACTTGGAAAATTCTTCATAACACTTTGATTCCTATGCTCCTCTGTGTCATCTGTTTGCTGAAAATAAGTGTATCTATTTCCTATTATCACAAACTTTGTGTCGTAAGTTAAAACTTGCATATACTCACTAATCTTTCTGCTGAGTTTCCAAAATCAACCATCAGTGTAAAGCAGTTCATTTATTACGTTGAAAGTTTTCATACAAATAGGCTGAATATCAAAACAGCTTGAAATAATAATTGAACTACATTAATTTTTAATGATTTATGTCTTATTGGATATGATAATAATCACGGGACGTTATATTTCTCCCATAACAGAAATATATTCTGAACAAACTAGAAACATCTCTCATCTACCAGTCTAGTTTTAGATTTGCTACAATGACAATGATTGACTGGTTATGAATAACATATTTCCATTGTTTGACTATTCTCAATAGCCACAGCTAGATATGATTAACGAAAGTAAATTGCATCTAAGCCATATCATCCAAAGTCTCCAGCCACTGATCTCAATTACAATACGAACCTCTTCCCAAACAGGTTGTCAGATACATACATAATAATAAAATATGGTTTCTTTTGTTTCAGACGGTTCATGCATTAACAAGCTCTCCAACAAATTCACAAGGAAAGAAACAAAATCATGAAAATATCACTTCCATGACCAATCGAGTAATAAAGCGTTTAATCCATTCCTTTCATCTCCCACATCACCAAAATTGACTGCTCAAAGCCAAATCAGTTGTTTCTATTTTTTTTGTATTTATCTCTACCCTATTTTTTACTTAATTAAAGAATAGTACTAAATAACATCTGCTTTACACAAAGATTCATTTAATATGAATAACAAACTGTTTAATTTGACCAATATGTGCACCATTATATTAGTGTTGCAGAAATATGTTATTTTTGTATTATATCATACATATATGTATATTTCTTTATCAATCTTTTTTTTATAATAAAGTTATTTTTGTTCTCTTTTGTTTTGTTCATTCTTTCTTATACACATTGCCGTTTTTAAACAATTTTATTCTTCTTTTAAAGTATTAGTTGCGACTTTATTTATCGTTTCGATCGGTTGAGTATGTGTTGAGCATAATCAGGTTATTTAGTCAACTTAAAACTCACCTAACTTGAAATTCAATTAATTTACTGTTTCAAAGTGAGTCACATATTATTAATGAAGTGTCATTCAGATTTTGTAAATGTGGGTTTGATTGACTCGAATTGAAATCAGTTTAAGACTTAGCACATGCTTTAATGATGTAAATCACTGAGCTTCATTAGTGTAACTACTGGCTATTAAAGTCTGACGCGATTTGAGTACCCAAAAATAATCCATTCTCCTGTGATAACACGAAGGAGTTCAGATATATTTTCAAATGTAACTAATTTGACAAATGTCTGTGCTGGTATGCAATCTATAAAACATCAAATCTACATCTGAAACGATTGACAGTAATTTAGAAATCATCTTTTTCTTTCGTCCCTACTTTGTGCGTATAAAGGGTTAGTTTTAGGTCACTGACTAAGATAATGAAGTTTTCCTACCAAAATTAACAACTAATCAAGGAAAAAATGACATTTAAATGGTTTGTTGACTATTCTTTTTCAGTACACACATAAACCTAAGGTTTTGTTTCAACAGAAATGATACCAAAAAGTTGATTGGCTACTAAAAACCGAACACTTCCGAAACTATGTCATCTAACTTGACTGCGTGTCGACGAATCACCTCGTAATCGAAATCATGAATATCCAGCTCTTAATTGAAGCAACACTGGCTCACAATCCTAATTTAGGAGTTATCCATTTATAGGAGCGCAAATAAAATAAGCCACTTGTTGTTGTGAATTGAGTTTGGGTTCACTATTTTCTGATTATGAACGATTGGGAGATCCTTCTGATACGAAATGGGATCTGGATAGACCAAGTTACTACTACACATAAAAATTCATCAACAAGCCCCCTTGAGATTGGACGAGAGAGAATGTAAGTTTTTGAAGGAAGATCCCAGAAGAAGTAATTTGCACTCAAGTTTATTCAACTATAAATCGACTGTTCAATGAGCATTGATTACTTTTGTGAAACAAAGCATTTGTCATTCAACACAAAATCACAGGATTAATCAATACGAGGGAAAAAGTAAATAACTCACTGAATAATCGGTACACGTGAAAACACATTCGAAGTTAATAAGTAGAATTCACTAGGAACAAATCAATACAACGGAAAACGTAGAAAGGTGACTGGATGAAAATCACATTAAGTCGATAACTGTCACATGCCCAACAATCGCTCATCATTTTTATTTCTTTCGTCACTTATTTTAATTGGATTTGAAGATGCTGTTTTCTTATTATTCCGTAGCTCTTTTGGTTTAATAAATTTTTGCTTTCTTTACTAAGGTTGTTGTACCTTCATTGAACTGCTTGTATTGGACTCTTCAACTGATTTTTTTTATCTCTACTAACCGATCTTCTTTGCAGAATTTGTCTCTTAGAGTGACTGAGGTCAGTAGAGAAAACGACGTTGTATTATCCAGATATCCAAGCGAGGATTGAAGTCATTGATTTTATTTTGAAATAATCAAAATCTACACAATCGCATTTTAGTCAACGAGTGACAGAACTTTGAAAATTTTGAACGGAAATCTACTCATAGTGAGTATTGTTTAGATGTTGATGTATGAACTAGGGGTATCTTAATGAACCATGTTATAGTTGGTTCGTACTTTAGAAAGTCGATAGAGTGTAGAGATCACTACTTTTGAAATAAAGTACGGACGAATAGCTTGAAGCTAGTTGCTAGACTGCATTAATTAACTAAAGCTCCAGTTCTAAACTCGAACTAGTATTTAGACTGCCTAAATTTAAATTGGTTAGGAAGAATATCATATTAAAATTTAGCAGACGTTCTTACTCAATTAACAGTCCAAAGTTTAGGTATTGAAAAGTAGGATCGTGGTATGTTATACGATAATGACAAACAATTTAAAATACGCAATAAACCAACCCAAAATCAAATAACGTTGAATTTTATTGATAAAATTATACGTCCAATTGCATTCTGTTTCATTGCCTCAAAAGACTATAGGTTTAAGATACAATTCTGTTTCAATTGGTTACAAAGCATTGAAGAATATCAGTAGAATATACAGTGCGATAAGTAAATGAGTATATCAAATCATATTGCTCATAGAAAATAAATTAAATGAATTCATGTAACAGTATTACTAATATCTTGTGCAGTCACTCATGTATTCATCCAATGTGAAAACCAATCAATTTTTGTTGTCCATGCACCAGAATAGGCTTCATTAAATTTATGGTGAAAATAAGCAAGTGCTTCTTGTTCATTATCAATTTCGACAGCTAAAGTCTTTCTTACATGTTCCAAATCACACACTGAAGTTAGCTCAGGTAATCCAGAAGGTAACATCATAGCTAATAATGTTAATATGAGATTTGAATGTTTACGTAAAAGAAGGTAAGCTTTACCACATAAATCAGTGAATTCTTGGAAATACATATTACCGTATATTCCTCCGATAGTATTATGGGTGACTGATGGCGGAGTATTAGTTGTTGTTATTGTCCCAGCATCAGGATTACCACGTGCAATTACTGTAATAAAATCTTTTGTCAAAACAAATGGTACACGTTCACGCGTGAAACCAAACTTCTTCTTACGATTATCTAAGATGTGTCCAAAATCAATATGAAACAATCGCCCAGTTGAATCAACCATTATATTATCTGGATGTCTATCACGAATTCCCAAAATAAATGTAGCAACACAATAACCAGCACATGACATAGTAAATGTACGTATCATTCGTTCATAGGCAGAATTATCACCTAATGGTGAATGATTTAATTGTCTTGCCTTTTGTTTAGCATGTTGTATTAACCATTTATATAACTGTGATGAATCAATTTGTAAAGCGGAACGTAAACGTTCACCCTGTATAGACATTACAGTACGTGAATCACGTACTGCTTCAATAATTCCCATTTCATAACCTGTTGCAAAACAACCATATGATGTTAAACACATATCCATACCTTCTTCTTTCCATATACGATCCATTAACTACAAAATGAATAAATAAATATAAAACCGCATTTACATGCATATTTTTCCACTGAATAAATAAATGGTGTTAATTTACCTATTAATCGGTGGTTGATGGGTTAATAACCTTATTGGTCATAAGGATTAACTGAATCTCATTTGTTTAGTCATTCGATGTAGTCAGAATTCAGAAAGTCGTAAAAGCAATATAAAAGATTCAACTGGTGGATATGAAAAACTGTACGTAAAATAATCACAACCATTACTTGTAATCGTTCGAAATTAAATATGGCATGAATTGTTAAGTCTTAGGCGTTTTATAACATTATTACATCTGCCCAGTGCAATCTCATTATCAATAGCTCTTCAGTTGACCACAGTTAGTAATGAAATTACCCTCAAACTACAACGAATTTATCAGTATGTTTGATAATTTTATCTAAACGATATCATACTCAAGTTCACACGAGTAACTGAAATCCATTGGTTTAATTGTATAAAGAATCTGGTTACCAATTCTGTAAAATCATTTTCTGTGTTGCAAATTAAGTTATGCCATTCTCGATGTATTACAAGAAACATGCAGTACATGTAACAATTCTTATCACACATCTAAGCAACCTCTTTTTGTCAAGCCAGTAAATAAGTCATTATAATCCGACCAAGCATTTTATAAAATTGTATACAAGTACATTTTTCTTTCTGATTACTTTTCTTTCATCCAATTTTAGAGAATTTTCATTCCGTTGCGTCCAATTAAATGATTAGTTTTAAATTGGTTAGTTATTTTTCAAAATTGATATGAAATGTAAGTACTTGTCGATAGAACCACTTTTCTTCAAATTATGAACGTTAATAACGTACAAAGTACAAGCTCTATCGTTTCTCACGTTGTCATGGACATGAATAACACATCCTTGAGTACATTGCATCTGGTAGCATTCCAATCACTTGAAGCGTTAAAGAGTGCCATCATAACTTATGAAAGGGCGATGTACTGCCACTATTCAGTGCGCGATCCTCATGTCCATAAGAATCAGAAGCAGTATTTTAAATTTGTATGTTAGAAAAATGGCCATAGAAAACCTAGCGGATCCTCACAGCCGATTGGACGAAGGAAGTAATTTGAGTAGTGTTATTATATTGCTCATGAAGGACTGGCATGAGTACTGGATGTCCAGCTACCATTTATTGTAAGTTTATTGAAGGTTACTGGATTGTTGTTCGCGGGAATGTGCATAACAATCATGAGTGCGATTCCCTGACGTACAACAACAATTCTTGGACGTGGAATTTGAAACAAACTGTGTGACATGTGAAATTTTCCTCAGCCACCAAGTGAAACTGCTGATGGAATCACTTGGATTTTTTGTCGCTGGAATGCAATGTTTCATCCATTTTTTGCCTAGAACCCACAACCACAATTTTATGAATTCCATTGCCCCATTTGCAGCGCGATAACGGAATAATAATTATGCCATTATTCAGGATAAACGAAAATGTTAGGAAATCGAGTGAAGGCCCTTATTGGGGTCACATACAATTTGGGTTTAATTTTTTTCAATTCGTTACAAATTGTATGGAAAACTTTTTATTAATCTCATTACATATACCTTCTATTTTTAACAACAGTTCCTCCATCATTGCGTTTAACACGAACTCTCAGTGAAGTAGTTTAACAGTTTCATCTGATGTGTTTCATATTATTTCGGTTAGAAATTCACTAACCCGTATGTTCTTCTAGCACGAAAATGTTAGAAAATTTTTAGCTTTACAATAACTAGCTGTTTATTATCTGTGCTAAGGCTCATGTGTATTAATATTCTTAAATAGCCAATATATAAAATAACTCATAATGTCATTGAATAAGAAAAAGAGAATTCAGCGAAGAAAATTTTCTTTTCGACGAAATCATTTACTTAAGCTGTACATTCGTATATATAGTAATATGGAAAATATATGTCTATAGGAGGCTAGAAAAGATTGCATTATAAATGGATTCGACAATAAATAACAAATGAGGTGACGTACTAATCAAGGGGTAAGGAAGAAAATAATTTATGGGTCAGATAATAGTTCAATTAACAGATATGAAGAAGAGCGACAAACACAAAGGTCATAATAATAATAATCTGAGTAATAATCAAGAAAACTTGTATAAGGTAATAATAATAATAACTGATTAGAGATTAAATGTAAAGTAGTAATTAAAAATAAAAAAAAACCGATAATAATCAGATAAAAGTACAAAAAACAAAAAACCAAAAAACGTACCCAATGAGGGAATTAGGGCCAAGGAAGGGTAAGAGGTTGGACAAATCGTTTCTGCACGCAAAGTTCAGGCTTGAATTCATGGATTGCCAATGCCTCAGCAGTGCATAAAATATTGATTCGACCTCCCTTTGATCCGGTTCCTTTAACTCTATAGATTATTTTAAAAGACGTCTCTTTTGGAGCAATGTGTCCGCAATTGATCAAGTGCTCTTGTATCGAACTGGTTATCTTCTTACATTCACCTTTTAGGAGCCAAGCTGGATAGTGTTCAGAGATACGTTTGGAAAGCGATCGCTTTGTGCGGCCTATATAACGTGCTCCACATGAGCAAGTAAATTTATAAATACACATCGATGTGGCCCAAAGCGAAAGCTTATCCTTAACACACACCCGAATGGTAGGCCGGCTAGAGAAAACGATTCGGAGCTTGGCTGTGTAGAAAGTTTTATTCAACGTTTTTGAAATCCGTTTATTCAGGATTTCAGCAGCCGTGTCTCCCTTGAATTCCATATTCATAAACAAGGTTTTCTTCTGCACCGTCAAAGTTATTTGTTGCTGACGTCTAGATGTTAAGTTGCTATCAACGAACCTCGGTGGATAACCATTTTTGATGAGGGTCTGTCGAAGATGAAGTAATTCTTCATTTATTGTGTCACTAGAACAGATTCGCTTAATCCTAGATGATAAAGAGTGAATTAAGTTCCTCTTTCGACTCAATGGAACCCAACTATGGAAATTCGTGTATTGTCCATTCCAAGTGGGTTTTCTATACATAGATCTTTGTAAATAACCATCAGGCAATCTTTTCAAATGGACATCAAGAAAATGGAATTCGTGGTTCGATTCTGTCTCTAAGGTAAATTGAATTGAAGGGTGACAGTTATTGAAAATATTTAATATTTCATTGTGGTCCATGTTATCATCACAAATAATGAAGGTATCATCCATATATCTCTTATATAAATGAAATTTCTCGATTATTTGACGAAGTGCTGAATTTTCTAGATTGGCCATGAAACAATCAGCCAAAAGAGGACCCAATGGAGAGCCCATTGCAACTCCATCTGTTTGTCTATAGAAACCATCATTAAATTTAAATTGTACATTGAGCGTGCATCGTAGGAGTAGTTCTTTAAGATAGTGTTTTGGGATACATATCTCCAGATTATTATTTTCAATATAGTCACATAAAAAACAAATGGTTTCTGTGAGAGGAACATTTGTAAACAACGACGTGACATCTAATGAGAGCATTTTCTTACCCATTACGTTGATATTTCTGATTGAGTCGACAAATTCAAAGGAATCAAGAGCATTGTATTTGTTGATATGATTTTTCCAAAGATCAGATAATTGACATTTTACAACCTGTTAAAAATCATATCAACAAATACAATGCTCTTGATTCCTTTGAATTTGTCGACTCAATCAGAAATATCAACGTAATGGGTAAGAAAATGCTCTCATTAGATGTCACGTCGTTGTTTACAAATGTTCCTCTCACAGAAACCATTTGTTTTTTATGTGACTATATTGAAAATAATAATCTGGAGATATGTATCCCAAAACACTATCTTAAAGAACTACTCCTACGATGCACGCTCAATGTACAATTTAAATTTAATGATGGTTTCTATAGACAAACAGATGGAGTTGCAATGGGCTCTCCATTGGGTCCTCTTTTGGCTGATTGTTTCATGGCCAATCTAGAAAATTCAGCACTTCGTCAAATAATCGAGAAATTTCATTTATATAAGAGATATATGGATGATACCTTCATTATTTGTGATGATAACATGGACCACAATGAAATATTAAATATTTTCAATAACTGTCACCCTTCAATTCAATTTACCTTAGAGACAGAATCGAACCACGAATTCCATTTTCTTGATGTCCATTTGAAAAGATTGCCTGATGGTTATTTACAAAGATCTATGTATAGAAAACCCACTTGGAATGGACAATACACGAATTTCCATAGTTGGGTTCCATTGAGTCGAAAGAGGAACTTAATTCACTCTTTATCATCTAGGATTAAGCGAATCTGTTCTAGTGACACAATAAATGAAGAATTACTTCATCTTCGACAGACCCTCATCAAAAATGGTTATCCACCGAGGTTCGTTGATAGCAACTTAACATCTAGACGTCAGCAACAAATAACTTTGACGGTGCAGAAGAAAACCTTGTTTATGAATATGGAATTCAAGGGAGACACGGCTGCTGAAATCCTGAATAAACGGATTTCAAAAACGTTGAATAAAACTTTCTACACAGCCAAGCTCCGAATCGTTTTCTCTAGCCGGCCTACCATTCGGGTGTGTGTTAAGGATAAGCTTTCGCTTTGGGCCACATCGATGTGTATTTATAAATTTACTTGCTCATGTGGAGCACGTTATATAGGCCGCACAAAGCGATCGCTTTCCAAACGTATCTCTGAACACTATCCAGCTTGGCTCCTAAAAGGTGAATGTAAGAAGATAACCAGTTCGATACAAGAGCACTTGATCAATTGCGGACACATTGCTCCAAAAGAGACGTCTTTTAAAATAATCTATAGAGTTAAAGGAACCGGATCAAAGGGAGGTCGAATCAATATTTTATGCACTGCTGAGGCATTGGCAATCCATGAATTCAAGCCTGAACTTTGCGTGCAGAAACGATTTGTCCAACCTCTTACCCTTCCTTGGCCCTAATTCCCTCATTGGGTACGTTTTTTGGTTTTTTGTTTTTTGTACTTT